CTAGTATAACTATAATTATAATGGGGACTTGAATAAGTTCTCGCTGTTTCCCGACAGATGGTGTTACGAGGGTCGTTCAATAAGTCCTTAGAAAATCCAAGAGATGGCGCTCGTAGTATCGAAAATGGTTTGTTTTTAGTAAGCATCATTACTCACTAGACAGCTGTTAAAGTCTCAGTTATATCCATCACATGGTTTCATTTTTATTGTCGATTGAAGCAACAAACTTTTCTTTATTTAGAAAAATGGGAAAAAGTGAGTTTCGAGTAGTGATTAAACACTTATATTTAAAAGGCTTAACACCGAAAGAGATTAAAGCTGAGTTAGATGAAGTTCATGGCATATCTGCTTCTGTGTTTACAACTGTTTACAATTGGGTAAATGAGTTTAAACGTGGCCGTACATCCACAAAAGATGAACATCGTTCGTGACATCCAGTGGAAGTGACTACTCCCGAAATGATTGACAAAATCCACGATATGGTTTTGAGTGATCGACGAATCAAAGTGCGCGAAATAGTTGAGGCCACAAGCATATCGCAAGGTACAGTGTTTTCAATTTTGCACGAAAAATTGGATGTGAAAAAAATCTCTGCAAGATGGGTGCCGCATTTGCTCTCAGTGAAGAATAAACGCAATCATGTGGTCGACTCTAAGGCTGTTTTGGCGTTTTTCCGTCGCAATCCTGACGAGTTTCTGCGTCGATACATAACTGTGGACGAAACATGGATACACCACTACACTCCAGAGACAAAGGAACAGTCAAAACAGTGGGTTTTTGAAGACGAACGGGCTCCGAAGAAGGCGAAGACGGTATAATCGGCCGGCAAGGTGATGGCCAAGTTTTTTTGGGATGCACGCAGAATCATCTACACCGATTACTTGGAAAAAGGACAAACAATAACTGAAGAATATTATGCGTTGTTATTGCACCGGTTGAGAGAAGAAATCAAGAAAAAACGTCCTCATTTGAAAAAGAAAAAGATCCTCTTCCATCAAGACAATGCACGGGTGCACACCTGCGCAGTTTCAATGGCCAAAATTATGGAATTAAAGTTCGAATTATTACAACATCCACCGTATTCACCGGATTTGGCTCCCAGTGACTTTTATTTATTTCCAAACTTGAAAAAATGGCTTGGCGGACAACGGTTCACGTCGAACGAGGAGGTGATCGCCCAAACAGATGCCTATTTTGAGAACCTTCCGAAATCCTACTTTTTGGACGTCTTAAAAAAGTTGGAGAAACGCTTGGAAAAGTGTATAGAACTAAAAGGAGATTATGTATGTAAGGAGAGTATGTTGAAAAATAAAAAAGAATCTACCTAAAATAATTTGTTTTTCTATCTTTTCTATCTTTTTCTAAGGACTTATTGAACGACCCTCGTAGCCTTTTTGCATCGGGCAATACTACAGCCAATTTCATTGTGAAGCTCGACCATTAGGCTCGAAGTAGGCTCGACAATATATGTTATTCCGCCGAAGCGTAAATAACATATTTTTTCATAGCGTTAAACATGTCGAATTTCGTGCCAAAAAAAGAGTATTTGCGGGGAATTTTACTGCATTACCTTTTTCAAAAAAGGTCTGCAACTGAAGCACATAGAATTCTTGTGGAGACTTACGACGACCATGCTTTGTCGGAAACAACATGCAGATATTGGTTTAGACGCTTTAAAAATAATGATTTTGATGTTGAAGATAAAGAACGCTCTGGCGCACCGAAAAAATTTGAAGACGAAGAATTGGAAGCATTACTCGAAGAAGACCCATGTCAGACGCAAAATGAACTTGCAGAATCATTAGGAATTGATCACACAACAGTTGCCAAACGTTTAAAAGCATTAGGAATGATTCAAAAGTAAGAAATTGGGTGTCATACGAATTGAAGCCGAAAGACGTCGTTTTTTCACGTGTGAACAGCTGCTCTAACGGCAGAAAAGGAAAGGTTTTTTGCATCATATCGTGACTGGTGATGAAAAGTGGATACACTACGATAACTCGAAGCGTAGAAAATCGTGGGGTAAGCCCGGCCATGCATCAACATCGACGGCAAAGCCGACTATCCATAATTTCAAGCTCATGCTCTGTATTTGGTAGGATCAGCTGGGTGTAGTATATTATGAGCTCCTCAAACCTAACGAAACTATCACGGGAGATCGCTATCGACTACAATTGATGCGTTTGAGCCGAGCATTGAAGGAAAAACAGCCGTAATACGAGGAGAACCTTCTTTCCGAAGCGATTGGGTTTTGCAATCGATTTTGATGATTCGCCGGGATTTACCCATGACTTTCTGCGTTTCGGATTGTCATAGAGTATCCATTTCTCATCGCCCATAATGATTTTCCACAAGAAAGACTTTCGACGCTGCTTATTGAGAAGAGAAAGACACGCTGCCACTCATTGATTTTTGTTGGTTTCATGCGGAACCCATTTTCCTTCTTTCTGGATCTTTCCCATCTCATATAGGCGTTTGGAAATCGTTTGCTGCATTACTCTCAACTGTTCTGCAAGCTCTTTTTGTGTTTGTGCTGAATTCTCAGCGAGCAGTTGTTCCAAATCATCATTATCGCACTTCGGAAGGCCTCCAGGGCGTTGTTTGTCGATTAGACTGAAATTACCGCTTTTAAACCGCTTAAACCAAAATGCGCACACATCGTACGATATAACACCTTCGCCGAGAAAGGAACAAATCGATTCGCACGCTCTTGCAGCATTTTTTCCTTGTTGGAATTCGTAAAGAATGCAGTGTCGGATATGCACCTTATCTGTTGCCATTTTCGACTGTACTGAACTGAATACTTTTGAAGGTTATGTTGGGTCTTTCGCCAAACTATATGTTCTTTTTAATAGCTATATGTCAACATTGCATAATCACAAAAGAGCGGGAAAATCTATTCAACTTAAAATTGATTTCATAACTTTAAAATAATTTGAATTATTCATTTGTACACCTAATATATGAAAATTACTGTGTAAATTCACAATATTTCCTGATCTCTACCGAAGTATTAGAAGGAACTGATATAACATGTATCTCAAAAGTAGCAGTAGAATCAAGATTTTCTTTTTCAAAGTTGTTCTTTTTCATGGATCGATAAAGAGTAATTAGGACAGGTTAATTTAAACATTGCAATGGAATTACATATTGTATTAACATCAATGGTAATGTTTCGTGGGAGGAGAAAAAAATTTTGTTCGTAAGTTAGCGTAATATACCATTGATGAGGGCCAAATACTAAGCTGAAATAATTGGTCAATTATGTAATATGTTTTATGATATTTGACATTTAACTCTTATCGGACGCTAGCTTTTTATACGTGATTCTCACTAGGTTGTAACTAGTTTCGGTAAATATGCGAGAAATTTTCAGTATTATAAGAATAACATTTCTGTTAGAAATTATTTATTTTTTGAAGGAGTATTACAAATATATGAGTTTCAAATAATTATTTATAAGTTTGTAATGTATGATATTTTTTGAAACAATTTCTAACATGAAGGAATGGTTTTCTGTTGCACGTTTCACGGAAGTATACTGTTGTTTTTTTTCCTTCAGGCAACTACGATTTTTGTCTAGACTTTAAATCAATATAGTCCAGAAAGTTTTTGACTTTCGAAAATCTTGTTATTGGATAGCTATTATTGTTCAGATTTTGATGTAAATGGAGCATCCAAAAAATTTGAAAAAAACGCTCCCTCTTAAAAATCTTAGCGAAAAATGGCATATTATACGTGAAGTCTTTGGAAAAATAATCTTTTATGTCACTTAAATAGATTGTACTCATATTCAAAATTACACCAAAAAAAGCAAGCATTTCCTCATACGAAATGTTTTTCCAATTTTGCCAAACTGATCTGGCGGATAATTCTTTCTATACAATTTGCTCGTTCGCATATAAGTTTGTTTGCGTTATAATTTCCGTTATGAGATCGTTAGTAATAAATTTTTTTAAATAATCTATAAGCTGCTGAACATTTCCAAAAATTTGGCGATTGATATTTGTAAAAGGAATCCTACTAGGGAGACCATCATCATCACTTTCGATTTCAATCCAATCATGGTCTGAGTTATCAACATTTTTTATTTCTACATCATTTTCTTCTTCACTTGAATATTTTATAGGCATAACTTTTCTTTTCTTAGAATGTAATAAGATGTGACTGCTACTCTCATCACTGGAATCAAAATCACTTTGAGAATTGTTTTCAAAACATTCACTGCCACTATCACTATCGGAATTTATAAAATTTTCTTTATTCATTTTTGGGCTCAATATATTAAAAATTGAGTACAAAAGGCTGTGATATATCATTGGGGATGTCAATTGCTCCGTTGCTGATACTGTTAACTGACAAGGCAATCGTGTCCGCATTTCACAGAGAGCGAGTTTCGACAGGTCCCGTCTTGTCACCTCCCACGTGATATACGACCGTAGCGACAAAGTATTGTTGTCATGTGAGAGGTGACTTACGACCGATAAGAGTTAATAAAAAAAATTTTTTTTTGTATAAAACACATTTACATCATGTGCGTGTTCCAATTGGTCAATTTTGAATATTTAAATTGTATATTGTTAGGGCCTTTAAATATATATTTTAAATAATAAAGAATAATTTTATTTTTTCACATCGTGTATAATTTATTTTTTATAAAATAGACGTGACTAAAATGGAGTATAAAAAAGAACGAGTATAGGTATACGACCCGAAAGAGAGGGAATGCAGGCGTAGTTCCCCCAGCTCCCCCCACTCCGGCCCACCTGGAAAACATCCCGGAGGGTTTTAACCGGTAAAAATCTGACAAAGGGGCGGGGGTATCCATGGGAATTTCTTCCTCGGTGAACAAAAAGAAGTATAAGTATAGGATAGGACAGTCAACACCTCCTTACAATGAATGATGTATCAGGTTCAAACAGAACAACATAAGAAAACTAATACGATTATTGAGAAGCAAAATAATCTTAGAAAAAAATTAATTAAATTTTAATACGTACTTGAATTTCTGGAAAATTTGCCAAGATAAATATCGTAAAATACATTGCAATGGCAGTCGTGTCGGAAGCCTGCGTAAGTGAAAACTAGTTTTATTAGTCCTATAGTTTCATTAATACATTACATGAACGGTTATACAGGGTGTTTGGTAACTCATGTAGCCATAACCAACGGAGGCATGGAGCTGATTGAGATAAAGAAAAAAGTCAAATATCATTTGGGAAAAATAGTAGAAATGACGTAAACATCGTATAAGTTATACATGAAAAAAATCGGATGAATTAGTATGTGCTACGTAGTGAGTGATGCACTCAGCCATTCGAGCCTACTTCTCCAACGGCCTGTTAACGGCATATTTCTCAAAGTAATAGTTGCTGGTGCGTGGCGAGGAGAAGAAAAGGCCACCAATTATTACTAGGTGAGGTGAGCCGCACTGTAAACTCGAGCGACTGAGTGTGCCATCCATTATCGTCGCAGCACATACTAATTCATTCGATTTTTTTCATGCATAATTCAGCTATTTTTACGATTTTTGCCAAATGGTATTTGACTTTCTTCTTTATATCAATTAACTCTATACTTCCATTAGCTTCCACTACATAAATTACCAAACACATTATACAGGGTATTCCAAAAGTAACGGACCATCCTAATAACTCTTCAATATTGAAGTTTCAAAGGAAATTATCTGAATAAAAGTTGTAGGGATTTAAGTGAACTACCTTATGATGACCTTGACCTCTATTTTCAAACTCATTTGAAGGTCAACTTGCGTTTTTTAAATGGGAACCCTTATTTTTTATTATACTGTTTTTTCTACTAGATAATTTAAATAACTTTTGTCTAAACCATTTTCTTATTTGTTTAATATTTTTTGAGATATTTGAGGAAATCTTGATAACTTTTTCAATATTTAACTTATGATATCTCGCTAACTATTTGTCAGAAAAAAGTGGTACTAGACTTTCTTGCTTTATTTAGTCTGAAGAATATATTGTTACAATAGCACCCTGACTTTTGTTAACTTACTGACTTTTGGAAATTTCAAAATCATCAAATTAACAAAAATCAGGGCGTTATTATGGCAATATATTCCTGAAACTAAATAAAACAAGAAAGTCTAGTACCACTTTTCCTTCCGACAAATAGTTAGTAAGATATCGTAAGTTAAATATTGAAATGTTATCAAGTTTTCCTTAAATATCTCAAAAAATATTAGACAAATAGAAAAATGTTTTAGACAAAAGTTGTCCAAATTAACTAGTAGAAAAAACAGTGTAATAAAAAATAAGGATTCCCATTTAAAAAACACAAGCTAACCTTCAAATGAGCTTGAAAATAGAGGTCAAGGTCAAAGTCAAGGTCATCATAAGGTAGCTCACTTAAATCCCTACAACTTTTATTCAGATCATTTTCCTTGAGACTTCAATATTGAAGAGTTATTAGGGTGATCCGTTACTTTTGGGACACCCTGTATATCTCAACAAAGTTAAGTTATACGAACCGCTCCCACCATTGTATTAATCTCATCGAGAATTTCCTTGCGATTAAATTTTTTGCCTTCGTTAGATGCTTCCATTAGTATATCGAGAAATATTCTTCTTGCTATTTTATTCGAACAGAAAACGATATAAAATGCATTTTTTTATATTGTTGACGAGATTCTAATATGTTATATGTATGTTGAATTTATTTATATTTCTCATGACAAAATTCGCCACCAATCTATGATAAATGCAAATGTGTTATACTAAATAATATGTTATAATAAATATAAATAGAAAAAAGGCAAAAATATATTCTTTTGTATATGTACTAATTTAATATATAAAATATATAATTTTAACAAGCAAATCTTCAGATATTTTGTAACAATTGCAAAAATATAGCATGTAGAGGAATACAAATAAAACATTGATAACTTACAGGGCTTTGCATATTCTGTTTTAACAGAGCACATATTATTTTTCGCGTCTTCCTTTTGTTGTATTATCTGTATAATAAATTATATAGCAATTGAAGAATATAATATTGTCAAAGATATATTTGCATAATACCTACTTCTTCCGCAATAGAGTTCATGAAATTTATATGTTTCTGTTGCTCACATTTCAAAGTAGTGAGATTGAATATCATATCGGGATATAAAAATACATTCCGCATTCTATGCGTAACTATATTTCTCAATCTAAAAATATATATTGCGACAATTTTAAAACAGTCTAGAATTTGAATATAATATATATCATTTATATGAATTGAAAAATAAAAGATTTGGAAAATAAAATCATACCTCAACATCGTTTTGACATATTGATTATTTTTATTTAACTGGGATTCCAAATTGATACCCACTAACGTATCTTCAAGATTTCGCATGAAAAAATATTAAGGTTTTTTAATTTTAATATAATGTATATTTAATATACAGGATGTCCCGGGAGGAAAGGTCAATATTTCGTGGGGGTATAGAATGAGATAATATAAGGCAAAAATGTTATATTGGGAGTACAAATTAGTTCAGTCGATTTTTTTTGTGTTAAAGATATATTTATTTCAAAACAAAATGAATGAACAGATCAGTTAAAATATTTTCCATCGCTGGCTATTACTTTCTCCCATTTCTCAGGCAATTTTCGAATTCCATCTCGAAGAAATGACTCGTCTTTTGAGGCGATCCAAGTTTAGAGCCAATTTTCGATTTCTGCGAAAGAAGTGAACCAGTAACCTGCCAAATCGTGCTGCATCCTTCGGAACAACCAGTAATCAGAAGGAGCAATGTCCGGAGAATACGGCGGGTACGGTAAAATATCCCATTTGAGCGTTTCCAAGTATTTTTTACGACTTTTGCGATATGAGGTCGAGCGTTGTCATGAAGAAAGCCTTTCAACGTCTCTCGGTTTTAGTTCATAAGGCGCCCAATTTCCTTGTTTTTGAATAAATTCCATGTCTCTCAATCGTACGGAAACGGCTTGTTGAGTCACTCCCAATGATTCTGCAAACTCCTTTTGCGTTTGACTCTGATCTTCTTCGAGTAATGCCTCTAATTCTTTGTCCTCGAATCTTTTTGGCTGTCTGGAGCGGGGCTTGTCTTCGACGCTGAAATCTCCATCTTTGAAATGTCGAAACTATTCCCTACATGGTTTATCAGTTGGAGCAGCGTCACCATAAACTTCAACAAGCATTCGATGGGCTTCAGCTGCACTTTTCTTCCAATTAAAGCAGAAAATTAAAACCTCCCGCAAATGCTGCTTGATTAACACAAAATTCGACATTTTCAATACTGTAAAAAGCAAGGTTTTTTTGTATGAAACTCAAAGCGATATAAACTGAATATTATTGGCAGATGTCTAACCTCTCTGAAACCGCCAAAATCGGCAGTCACTATGAACCATTTATAACAGCCGGAGTCATCTTTTGAAAACGGACCGTACTAATTTGTACACCCAATATAAACATGGTGCCGTTTATTACTGGTTTGCGAGATACAGCTATGTTAAATTACACATCGGAATTATCTAATATGAGTTGAAGTTTACTGCAATTACATTGTAATACATATATCATAACAAATTTTCGAATATTTCGCCCCGTACTTCGATAATTTGTCACATCTTGTGAGAACGTGGCGGGTTGCGCGCCGAAGGGCATCTTCACGGTCCCTAATTTGGTCAACAGCGGCTATTACACGTGCAATAAGTTCATCCCATGTATTCACTTTAGTTTTATATACCTCGCACTTTAACCAACCTCAAAAGCAGAAATCCAGGGGAGTTAGGTCGGGTAATCTTAGTGGCCAATGCACTGTTCCACTGCGACCGACCCAGCGATGTGGAAACACTGCATTTAAGTGTTCTCTCACAAGATATGTATTATGAGGAGGTGCTTCGTCGTGCTGAAAATACATTGTTCTTCGTGTAGCCAGGGAAATATCTTCTAGTTGTTGTGGAAGCGTATTTTATAAAAAAGTCGAGGTAACTCTACCCTGCCATACAATTTTGTAAAATAACGGGACCAATCAGCATTCCATCAATCATGCCACATCATACGTTGACGGAGAAACGAACTTGGAAATTCAGTACAACAATGGCGTTAGGTTATCTTGCGACTAATCATGGTTGTTACACGTATTATTTATACCATTACGCGTAAATGTTGCCTTGTCAGTGAAAAGTATGACGGGAATAAATTCACGATGATTCTGTAGCCACTAGCAAAACTATAGACGTATGGCTCCATCTCCTTCATGGAGATTTTGTATTCGTTGTGGATGAAATGGGTACAGATGTTGCTCATGCAATATCCATCAGACACGTGTCCGAGGAACACCAGTACGTGCAGAGATCCTTTTTGTACCAATTGTAGGGCTCCTTTGTACCATTTGAAGTACATTTTCTTCTTCCTCAACATTTCTCTCAACTCTACGTTGAAATGTGATGTGAGCGCTGGGAAATGTATCATTTTCACGTAAGCTGTTAAACACGTTTGAGAATACCCTCCGGCCTGGAATGTGGCGCATCGGAAAACGGCGATGATATTCTTCAACGGCTGCGGGAGCACTGCCATCACAATACCCATAAATATAAACCATATCTGCGTACTCTACATTAAAAAAAACGTGCAGCATGTTTGCAGTGTGTCACAAACAGCAAGACAGATCACCAGATGTGTTTCGCTAACCTTTCCAACTGATATATAGTCTGTAGCACTCCGTTACAGTGAAGAATGAAATCCCAATGACGCGCCAACTTTAAATTCCGATGTGTAATTTAACATAGCTGTATCTCGGAAACCAGTAATAAACGACACCATGTTTATATAACATTTTTGCCTTATATTACCTCATTCTATACTCCCACGAAATATTGACCTTTCCGCCCGGGAAACCCTGTACGAGTGTGGTCCGATAAGTACTTAGCCTACAAAAGAAAAACGAAAATTTTGGAAAAGTGGCGATTTATTTCTCAACATAGTCTCCTTTTAGCTTGATACACTTGACCCAGCGATGCTCCAACTTCTTTAAACCATCTGAAAAATACGTTTTCTCGAGGTCTGCAAAGTAAGCCTCCGTGGCGGCGATGACCTCCTCATTCGACTCAAATTTCTGCCCGGCGAGTGACTTTTCCAAGTTTGGAAACAAAAAGAAGTCGCACGAGGCCAAATCTGGAGAATACGGTGGATGGGGCAGCAGTTCGTAGCCCAATTCGACCAATTTGACCGTGGCGAGGGCGGAGGTGTGAGCCGGTGCGTTGTCACGGTGGAAGAGCATTTTTTTCTTCGCCAAATGGGGCTGTTTTTTCTGCAATTCGGCGTCGAATCGGGCCAATAATTCGGCATAGTACAGCCCTGTGACCGTTTTGCCCTTCTCCAGGTAGTCGATGTAGATCACACCTTGTGAATCCCAGAAAACGGTGGCCATCACCTTTCCGGCCGATAGGACAGTCTTCGCCTTCTTCGGAGCACGTTCGCCGGGTGAAGTCCACTGTTTCGACTGTTCCTTGGTCTCTGGTGTGTACCAGCGGATCCATGTTTCGTCGACGGTCACGAAACGACGCAGAAACTCCTTCGGATTGCGCTTAAACAGCGTCAAACACTGCTCTGAAATGGTCTCACGGTTGCGCTTGTTGTCCGGAGTGAACAAACGCGGCACCCATCGCGCCGACAGCTTTCTCATGCCCAAAATTTCATGCAGGATATGACCCACGCGGTCTTTTGAGATGCCTACTGTCTCAGCTATCTCGCGCACCTTCAATCGGCGGTCTGCCAATACGAGATCGTGGATTTTTGTCATGTTATCCTCCGTGGTAGCCGTTTTCGGGGCACCTGGGCGTGGCTCATCAAAAACCGACGTGCGACCACGTTGAAACTCGTTAAACCAATTTTTGACGGTTGCCATCGAAGGAGAAGAGTCACCGTACACAGCATCCAAGTGCTCTTTGATTTCGCTGCGCGATTTCCCTTCCAAAAACAAGAATCGAATCACCGACCGATATTGCTCTTTTTCCATTTTTCTAAAATCCGCGGACACGCCCGCTTCCACACGCGGTCAAAACAAAACTACGAGTCCGATTCGGCTGAAATTTCGACAGTAGCCATCTACGAGAATGTACTACGCGATAGTAAATTTCTTTTGCGATAGTGGCGCCATCGGGCGGTGAGGCTAAGTACTTATCGGACCGCCTTCGTATATAGTGTGGCCCACATAACTTTTAACAGCTGAATATTTTGGAAACTATTTGTCAAATAAAAAAGTTATTCATGAGAAAGTTTTATGTATTCGAGGGGCCTTTCTAACTACATAAATATTAAGTTACTCCCTGTCCCCCTTTAAGGCCCCCCTTAAAGAGGGGCAGGGAGTAACTTCACAATTTCAAACGGAACCTCCTATAAAATGTTAGATGGTTGGGTTCTGCGGTAAGAAACAAGTAAATTTTGTTCAAAACATTTTTTTGTCAGATGTTTCTGTTAAAAGATATGACGGTGTAAAATTTCGAAGCTACAGGAAATGTAAAAGCGTCGCGTATCCTTGTCTTTTGTCGGTGATTCCAACATAAACAAACATTCATACATTCATTGAGGTCAATTTAACTATTCATGAAAATCTTGTCAGTTGTATGTTACTATTCAAAAAGTTAGCATCGTGAAAATCATAGTTAGCTATCACTATGTTTGATACAGAAGTGAATATGTTATTAGTATTAGGTGAATGCCAAAAGAATTATCGCCGTGCAGCAGTAATGTTTTTCGAACGTTGTGGGATTAAAAAATCGCACGTGTAATTTTTTAATGTAGAAAAGCGGCTTCGTGAACATGATAAATTGCGTACAACAACTCACAATAAACGTAAAAGTATTACTAATGAGAGAAACAGTGTTGATGTTCTTGGTGCAATTACATTAAATCCTCATGTTAGTCAACGTGAACTTGCCAGAGCATTGGATATTAGTCGTTCTTCAATTCAACGAATTTTGAAAGAGAATAGATATCATCCATATCACTTAATTCAATCACAAGAACTTTTGGTGACAGACTATGAACGCCGCATAATATTTTGTGAATGGTTACATGATGCTATGAAAAATAATGACTTTCTGTACAAAATACTTTTTTCCGACGAGGCTATTTTTATGAATTCAGGGCATGTGAATAAACATACTAGATGCGCAACTAAGTTTCCGGGATTTTCTGATCAATAAAAATGGAAAATTTCAAGAGAAATATTGGGTGAGTGCAAAAGTTCGTGCGGAGTTTGTGAGTAAAAGTCACACAGTGATTAGGCAAACAAAAATCTTTATTCAATCAATGATATATTCTCCATCGTTTTCTATAATCTTTTCCCAACGTTCTGGCAGCATACGGATGT